TACTAATAAGATGAACTGCATTGATTGTTTCATATTAATCCAGTTTTGCCCTCTTGAGATAAACACTATTTGGTCATGACTTATTATCCTTTTTTGCACTACTGCTTCATATATTTTGTCCAGTTTTGTAGTTGCTTTACAGTAAAAGTTCAAAGTCAGTACCAGTTACTCCAATGTGGCTAGAAGTAAACCCACAAATAAGTATTAACCTTAAGCCATGGTTAACAGTGAAGAAAGAAGTCTAGCAGTTACCAAAGTAGATGGTGGTAAGAAGAGAGCCTTGATCCCACTAATCCTATTATTCATTCTGCCTATTCCTGAACTAGGATATACACAAGGAACTCAGTTCGACTACAGTCAAAAAATATTTAATAATTCTCTGTTTAATAACAGTTAACCTACAAACTGGTACAAAAAATAAAGCATGCCTATCTCTTACTTCTTTTAAAGTTACCAACTTAAAACCCAGAGATCGCTACAATGTTCATTATCAATACATGCCTATTAAATTAAAATGTATAAGTAACATTTTGAGAGACAAGTATTCAAACCAGAAAGAAAATCAAAATCCTGACCTATAACTGCTTAATATAGGATGTATCATCGTGTAATGTTAACACAAACTATCAGAAGTATCATGGCTATCTTGCAAAGTTCTATTGCCTATCCTAGAAAATTAAGAAATGAGTATGCCCTAAAAGAAAAACAGGCAATCATTTTAATCTGTAAAAATGGTGTGCAAACTATTTTATGTTCATAGATAAGCATTTATTAAACAGCTTTAAAATTAACAGCAGCAACAGAAAATATGTACCATATAATGTACAACCTCGAAAGGTCTTTTTCCTTTTTTCATTTACAGAGACCTTGAGGCTTCAGAGCGGACACTCAGAAGGCAGGCTGCCAGTATCAATTCACACTGAAGCAAAACTTCTGCCAATGAAAACTGAAACACCTGTATGAATTAAGTAAATTGTTCCCATTTTCAACAATGAAAGGAAATTAAAAGCATTACTGAATGTCACTGATTTGGCCCATCTGAAAGGAAATAACGTAGATAACAGCTAATTTTAAATTATCAAGCCGATACAACACAAATGGCTCTCTAAAACAATATGGGTTATTTTTACTATGAGTCATTCAGTTTTCCTGAAATGTGTGGATCAAATATCTCAGGAACAGCACTACATTATGACAACCTTAAAAAAATAAAGTATTCCTTTTAGGATAAGCTTCTGACACTGCTGAATGAAAACCTTTTCCCAACATATTGCACATATATTTCAACATGCTCCACCAATAGGAAAACACTACTAAAAATGTCTCCAAAAAAGAGATTTTACCATTTTAGTCAACTTTAAGACAGTTCACTAAAACTGAACAAAATTCAGGAATAATTCATTTATTCAATAAATATTTAACAAATATCCGATAGTAACTACAGTCCCCATCCCTTCAAGTGCTTACAATCCACTGGTAGGAGTATGAAGACTTGTATTATTCTTGCTCTTCTATTAACTAAAGATACTTCCTAGTCTCAGGATTTGATAGGCCCAGTTCCAGGCCCCCACACCGCCGCCACAGAAGGGAAATGGCCGCCCAGCAGGAAAGAGTGTGCCCTTCCTTTCCCCTCTGCTCCCTTCTCCCCCACGTCTACAGCCAATTTCAAACAGGTCTTCTCCACTTAGGAATTCTTATTCCTTGAAAACAGAATGCTCTCCCGCAAACCAGTAATGAGATGGCCCCGCTCATCCCTGAAGCTATGGGTGCACCAGCTCTACCTACTCAAAGATACTTTCAGGACATTCTCGAATTTGATCCTCAAAGCAAGTTTTCAGGGCTGAGGAAGGGGCACACCCCCCTTCCCTCATTACACAGATGAAGAAGATAAAACAAGCGGTTATCCTTCACATCACATAGCACTACCTAAAATTATAAAACTAAGTGGAGCAATGCTGCATCGAGTTATGGGACAGAAATAAATCCTCTCCAGGGTTCAAGCATATTTCATTCATTCTTCTGCATCCATTTATTGAGCAACAGCTATGACTGAAGCATTGAAAGACTATACGGGGCCTTGTAGAAGACCCAGAGAAGAACAGAGCCCAGTCCCTGAAATGGGGAGCTTATAGTCTTGTGGGAGTGATAAGACATAAACATAAATAATTATAATATAAGCCCAAATATGGTCCTTGTTAAAAGAAAGGCACAGAAAGAAGTTCAAGAGTTCAGAAGGGGGACAGCACCTGAAAGTGTTCCCTTTTGCCTCAAATAGTCTTTTGGAGTAATAGATAAAGGATCTTTATATACAGGATATTCAATTATATAGGATATAAATTTCAATGAAATTCTTCATTGAAACCAGGGGCCACTTCTAATTCATCTTATTATCTGCTTCAGTATCATGCACAAAGAAGGAATATCAGGAAGGACTGATAAATGCAAGATGAGTTGACAATGGCTCATCTGGATTTTTCTAGTGTAGTCTGTATGCTTCCTTTGGGATCAACAAAAGAAGGGGGTGGTGCAGATCACAAAGTATCCTTGGGGCTCCTAAAGCCGTCCTCACGTATAAGTTCCATGCTCTACTTCTTATGAACTAAAGATTTTCCTGGAATTAAAAAATTCATCTCCTTAGAAGAGTCAGGCCTGGCACTAGGCATCACTGTAATCAAACAGTTTTCCTCCAAAAAGATCAGTCCTCAGGTCAGTTCTGACTTGGATGAGAGTTGGAGGAGGACAGAGAGCAAAAAAAGGATATATTATAGAGCCCTTGGGGGAAAAGTATGAAACTCAAATTTATGACCTTCATTGCAAGTTAGGAGAGATGAGTTACCCACCCCAGAGGTTACCAGAGTTAACTACTTCAGAAGAACTTCACAGTAGAGAGGAACAAGAAGGCGGGGTGCTGGGGTAGGGGATCGGAAAGGCAAACGAGAGACTAAGAGAATCTTAACTCTAGGAAACAAACTGAGGGTTGCTGGAGGGGAGGTGGGTGGAGGATGGGATAACTGGGTGATGGACATTGGAGAGGGCATTTGAAGTAATGAGCACTGGGTGTTGTATGCAACTGATGAATCACTAAATTCTACCTCTGAAACTAATAATACAGTGTATGTTAATTAAATTGAGTTTAAATTTTAAAAATTTTTAAATAAAAATAATTTAAAAAGAAAGAAACAGGAAAAAAAAGGAAAAGTTTTTTAAAAAGGAAGAAATATATCCCCACCAACTGGAAATGCTAAAAAAAAAATTGAACTGCTTGAATATAGAGTATTTTAGTGTCTTTTTAGGATAACTATGGATAATATATATACCTTGATAAACTGCTAAGACCAGTCCTAAGAAGATGTTATTACTGACCTCCTCCCCATAAGAGGCCAGCAGGATCACTTCCTAGCACATGTTAACATTCTGTTTACCCCAGTCATCAGAAGAAACCCAAGTGTCCTGGTCACATTCATCATCTAGACACTTGTCCCCATCCAGCTCTGTACTTCCCTACAGTAACTCAAACTCACCACCATTCCAGATCCTCCACATCCTTCCCACTGAGATCCTCCCCACCACCTTGTCTAAAACAGCCCTCCTCATGCCATTTGTATTCCCTTACCTGGCTGTATGTCCCCAGAGCACATCTGTTAGATACATTATTTCTCTCTTGGTATACTGTGTATTGTCCCCACAAGAATGTAAATCGATGTAAACGCCAAGAGGGAAAAGACTTTGTTGACACTGTATCCCCTACTACGAGCACAATGCTTGATACATATTCAGTATTCAATAGAGATTAGCTGAATAAATAGGAAATACAGAATAATTTTTTAAATTAACCTTTTAAAAAAATGTTTAACACTTGTCAAATTCCTTATAGCTTATGTAATGAATAAACAGGGATATTTCCATATAGTTACCTAAACACAAATATGCTATCATCATAAACACCAAAGATTTCTAAGATACTCAAGTGAGAAAATAAAGGAGGCACCCAGAGGACTCAAGGGATTAACATCCAACCAGCTCCAAAACCGTAGGCAGGGAACAGTAACTTGCAAAATTTATATTACAATACAAAGTAAGCTAGCTTTTCTACAGATAAAAGTACTTCATTTTTGCCTTATCTGAAAAATAACAAAGAAAGAAAACATCAGAATTCTCTCTTGATTTTAACTATAATAAAAATGCCTTTGAAAAAATTATCTTAAGCAACTTGTGCTCATCAAAGATGTGCGTTATCTTTTCATCCATAAAGCTAAGAAGATACTGACTGACCCTTGGGTCTGTGACTTTTCTGTTCATCCTCACACATCTATTACTCGATCTTTCCTTTTCACTGCCATTCTTCTCCGATTGTGGTCTTTATCAACTTAATTTTCTTACAGCCCATTCCCTCCTTAATTCCCTGTAATGAGGTGACTACACAATACTCCACTGAAACTGTCCTAGAAATAAGCAGGGCACTCCTGATTAACAGCACCCACAGCCCTTCTCCTCTCGGCTCTACAGTGCCGAATGCTGACAAGCACCTCATGCTCTCAACAATGCCTCCTTCCTCGGCCTCTATAACCCACACCCTCCTGCTTCTGGTCCTCGCTCTCTGACGTCCTCTTTCTCATCCCATCCCTGTGGGCATCACCCTCAGTTTTAGACAAGAGAGGTGCATACTATAGTGGCTTTGGAGTGAAGAGTCAGACTCTTGGTCTGTCATTTCATTTATTCATTGAACATTTATGGAGCACCTATTAGGTGCGCTCCATTAGACACTGAACAAGAACTATTTGGCCACTGCCCTCAAATCCAAGCAAGTACAAAGAAAAAGGCTTATGTTTACATCAACAGCAAGTTATATGCAGTTTGGAAACTAAAATGGCGAGGTATTCTTCTCCTTAATTTCCTTAAGTGTCAGTGTTTCAACATGAGCAATCTGAGCCAAGAATATAACAGAAGCAATAGAACGCACAAGGAAAAACATGCAACGGAAAGGATGAGACATGACTCACCGACGTAAATGTCAGCAGCTCCTCTTCAGTCAACTTATGCACTGGGTTATTCTTTTGGAAATTTGCGCTTTAAATTACAAAAAAAAGTAAATTAATTCTAAAATGCATGTTGTTAACTAATGAAATAAAATTTTTAAAAAGGCAACATAAACTTTATATATTTCAAAGCATGTATTTTCATATTACTGCATTATATACCAATAGAGATACAAGTTTTCCAAAGATAAGTATGAAAATTAATAATGTAATAAGTAAGTAAGTAATAAAATCCACAAATGGGGTGCCTGGGTGGAGCATTCAGTTAAGTGTCCAACTCTTGGTTTTTATCTCGGGGTCGTGAGATCGAGTCCCACACCAGGCTCCACACTCAATGCAGAGTCTGCTTGGATTTTTCTCTCCCTCTCCCTCTGCTCCCCCCCAAATAAATAAATATTTTTTTTAAATGCTGACAAAATGTGGTTGGTACTAAATGTCAACATAATCAATTTTACTAGGAGAAAGAAATCCAATCTGTGCCCCTTCACAAAGAAAATGAAAAGAATTAACATGGCACCGGCTCCTATTTACCAAACTCATGCTAAAAAAATAAAATATTACTGTGACCATTAGGCAAAAATTAAGAGGTTGTCAAAGAGGCAGAATAATGGGAATTCTTAGATCCTGCTGATCCAAGTATAATTTGATAGGACAATTTTGTTAAACAATTTAGCACTATCTTATAACATGAACCTTCATATATCCTTAGCTCAATAATTCCATAGAGCCCAGAGAAATTCTTGAACAGGTGTACCAGGAATCTATACACAAATATCCATAGTTATAGTGTGTATAACAGGAAAAAATCTTGAAATAATCCAGATGTCCAAAAGGAGAGTGATAAAATGAGAAATATTCACCCAATGGAATGCTATAATCCAAAGTAAATGGTAGCTACATATAAAACATGAACCATAAAAACATAATAATGAGAGGAAAAAAACAATCACAGAAGACTACATAATAGTAAGATACCACTTTTATAAAGCTCAGAAAAAAAAACAAATAAAACAATTGACTTAGACGTATAAAAACATGTAAGTAAATATATTTTTTGAAAAGGCAAGAAAATGACAAATAGAAAATTCAGGATAGTGGTTACCCTTTTTTTTTAATTCAAGTATAATTAACATACAGTGTTATGTAAGTTTCATGTACACAATATAATGACTCAACAATTCTATATATTTCTCAGTGCTCAAGATAAGTCTACTCTTAATCCCCTTTATTATTTCTACCTGTCTCCCCCACCCCTCTGGCAACCATCAGTTTGTTCTCTGTATTTAAGAGTCTGATTTTTTGTCTCTTTTTTCCTAGCCCCACTGTTTCACCAATCTATCATCTCTAAGAATTCACCTTCTCTGTGTTTCCTTTCTAAACTAACCCAGCCTACTACAATGTCCAAGTCACCTCTCCATAGGGATAATGGCCATGGGGATTACACAGAGATCAGGCAGTATTACAAAATCACTGTTTACAACCCCCACAATAACTCAGTTGATGTAAATCATCAATTCACTAATGTTCTTATCCGTTTATAAACACTGCCCATCAGATGCCCAAGATTCAGACAATAATGAAGTAGTTTCTACCAAACAGGGAAGATTTAAATTGCCTATAAAATCCACTCAGCACTTCTAACTGTTCCATATATTAAGATTCCACCAATACTGTATTTGGAGGAAAAACCGGTATTTGAAAACAGCAGTTTTCTGTTTTGTTTTTTAGTCCTCTCTCAACTGTGAAGTCTAACTCATTATACCTAAAGCTCAACTGACAGAATCCCTGGGCATATGTATATTTTGTTTAACTTTGCTCTGTAATTCTGAGCAAGTCATTCAGCCATTTGAACCCTGATTTCCTATCTGAAAAATGGAGAAAGTAGCCTCTAGGGTTGCTAGAACATTAATGAGGGGTAATGTGGAAAGTGCACGGTGCAATTCCTAGCATGTGCAACTGCTCACAAATGGTTGCTATTTAAATTATTTACATACTAGTAGCTGGCCGGTTAGCTCAGCTGATTAGAGTGTGGTGCTAATAAATTATTTACATACTAAGAATCATTATGAATTGGACAATTTTTCATTAGTAAGCATAAAATCTGTCACTAGAATCAAATCATGTGATAGAACAAGAGATCTGGGCTTAGAAATAGCTACCGGGGAGGGCACCTGGGTGGCTCAGTCGTTAAGCGTCTGCCTTCGGCTCAGGTCATGATCCTAGGGTCCTGGGATCGAGTCCCACATCGGGCTCCCTGCTCGGCAGGAAGCCTGCTTCTCCCTCTCCCACTCCCCCTGCTTGTGTTCCTGCTCTCGCTATCTCTCTCTCTGTCAAATAAATAAATAAAATCTTTAAAAAAAAAAAAAAAGAAATAGCTACTGGGGTGCCTGGGTGGCTCAGTCAGTTGAACATCTGTCTTCAACTCAGGTCATAATCTCGGGGTCCTCAGATCGAGCTCCACATCGGGCTCCCCACTCAGTGGGGAGTCTGCTTCTCCCTCTCCCTGGCCCTTCCCTCTGCTCATGCTTTCTCTCTTGCTCTCAAACAAATAAATAAAATCTTTAAAAAAAAAAGAAACAGAGCTCTATCTGTATGTGTGATCCCTTATACCCGAACAAGAGGACTAGAGGACTGCATTCAACTTTTATGTAAATGAAATGTGAAAAAGGGGTATAATGCTATGAGGGGGAGACAAAAGGGTAAGGTCTACTGAGTTAAGAGACAATTTTGTTTTGTTTTGTTTTACAAATTACCCATTACTAACTTGACTGTTCTAAATATTGGAACTTTGTGAATACTCCATTTTGAACATTACTAAGTCTCTAGATGAGAAATGAGATATTTATGTAGTCCAAAAGTACCTTCCCACAAAATAGTACTTACAAGGATGAAAAAGAAAAACTTTACGATGAAGAAGCCTGGCAAACACGGCTTCAATCATGTGATTAAAGTTAACATCAGCAGTAGTGGGACAAATCAAAACTGTGTTCCACTGCTAGGATGCAATAAGAACCATAAAACATGGGGTGCCTGGGTGGCTCAGTCAGTTATGCATCTGCCTTCAGCTCAGGTCATGATCCCAGAGTCCTGGGATCAAGCCCCGCATCGGGCTCCCTGCTCAATGGGGAGCCTGCTTCTCTCCCTCCCTCTGCAGCTCCCCCTGCTTGTGCGTGCTCTCTGTCAATAAATAAATAAAATCAATAAAAAAAAAGAACCACAGAACTTCCCTTCTCTGATATCCATGCTAATGATGCATAATGCGAATCTAATCGTAATTTTTTTTTAAATAAGTCAAATTCAAGAGGCAAAGTCTACAAAGTAACTGGCTTATAAATTTCAGAAATGTCAAGACCATGAAAGTCCAGCAAAAATGAGGAACTATTCCAAGACTGACAGTAATTGGAGAGACAATGACAACTAAAAGAAACACATATATTCTACCGTGGGCCCTGTGCTACAAAGGAGATTACTGGGACAACTGGAAACCTTGAATGGGATCTGAGTATTAAATGACAGGAGAGTATGAATGTTAACTTCCTCATTTTGATAGCTGTATTGTGGCTATGTACAAAAAATTCCCTAGTTTGTTGGAAGCACACACTAAAGTATTCAGGGATGATACAGTATCATGTTAGAAAATTATTCTCAAAAGTTCTCTGCAATGTCTTACCCTTGCAACTTTTTTCCAATTTTGAAATCACTTTAAAATTGAAAAAAATAAAAATAAAAGGAAAAACTGTTTCCAACACACATAAGGTTCAACAGTATTAAGAAATAATTGTATCCTCGGGTGCCTGGGTGGCTCAGGTGGTTAAGCGACTGCCTGTGGCTCAGGTCATGATCCCCAGGTCCTGGGATCGAGCCCCACATCGGGCTCCCTGCTCAGCAGGGCGTCTGCTTCTCCCTCTCCCACTCCCCCTGCCTCTCCCCACTGCTTGTGCTCTCTCTCTCTTAAATGAATAAATAAAATCTTAAATAATAATAATAATAATAATTCTATCCTTTGGAATGTAAATATCCTCAAAGGTCAAAATAATCATTCTCAACTCTCCTAAATATTTTATTAAAAGCTTAATCCTAGCTAAGGCTAGCCAAAGAAATTTTGCTTATGAAGGAAAGAGAAGGTGAGGTTATACTAACTCAAAGGAGATACCTGAGATTCCTAATCTCTAACCCTTTACTTAGTTGCCCAGCGGAGAGCACTGGTAGTTTAGTGGTAATTGGATGCCCCACTATTCTTGATCCTTCTAAGCATAATAAGATTCCCTATTCAGGGCGCCTGGGTGGCTCAGTTGGTTAAGCGACTGCCTTCGGCTCAGGTCATGATCCTGGAGTCCTGGGATCGAGTCCCACATCGGGCTCCCTGCTCAGCAGGGGTCTGCTTCTCCCTCTGACCCTCTTCCCTCTCGTGCTCTCTGTCTCTCATTCTCTCTCTCTCAAATAAATAAATAAAGTCTTTA